AGGAGGAAGGGGAAAGAGGAGGAAGAAGGAGAGGAGAGAGGGGAGGGGAGGGGTGGGGTGGGGAGGAAACAGAGAGAAAGATGAAAGGCAGAGGAGAAGAGAGAAATGAAATGTTCATGACAGGTCACTGCTTCAATCCTCCCAGTAGCCAACGCATTTGTCGTTCTCCTCCTCATCACTGCCATCTATGCGGTATGTAACGACAACGGAGCGTGAGAGGAGGAGGAGGAGTACTGGCAGGAAGAGGAGGTGGAGGAGGGTTCAGAAGCAGAGTGGAGAGCGGAGTGAGAGGATAGGAGGGGAGTAAATTTGATTCAACAGGTTTTGGCTTGTATGCTGTTCAAGAGTAGAGATGAAGTTTTGTTCGGGAAGTTTTCCGCTGCTTTCTTCTCAATGTTTCAGGTACGATCTTCAACTTTGAGTGCTCGAGAATTAAAACTCTGAGCGTTAAACTTCAAGTCTGTGATGATGTTTTACAGGTTTGCACTGGAGATGGTTGGTCGACAGATGTAGTTCGTCCCATGTTTGGTGAAAGCGGAGTTGTAAGTAAACGAATCATGACGACTATGATGATGATGATGACGATGATGATGATGATGATGGCAACAATGATGACAATGATGATGATGACGAGGATGATAAAGATGGAGATGAAATTATGAAATTATGATGATCATGACGATGATCATGATGATGATGATGATGATGATGATGATGGAGATAATGATGGAGATGATGACATTATGGAGATGGAGATGACAAGGATGATGGAGATGATGGAGATGATGATGATGATACAGCTCACGACTTTTCTCTTCAGGTCGATGGATATGTAGTGCTCTTCTTTGCCTCTTACATCCTGATCGGTGGCGTGCGTTCTTGTCGTTCTTCTCTGCTCTCATGATCTTGTCAGGCGGCTACTTCTTGCTCAATGTGGTGGTTGCGGTGCTGCTGGATGAGTTTGCTTCTGCTGTTGAAACGGAGAAGAGAAGAATGAAAGAGTGAGACGAGCAGGAGAAGAGAGGAGAGAATCGGAGAAGTGATATGAGAGTTGTCAGGAAGAAGAACATGTTAGACGTCGCATCCGCTCCTCACTTTCTTGACCCTCTCCTGGAATTTCTGGCACAATATCAAACTGAAAAGGTGAGAAGAGCGACAATGATGGAGATAATGATGATGATTGAGATGATGATGATTGATATGATTGACATGACGGTTGTTATGATTTACCCCGTTGTTGTAATACGTTGAATCAGGATCTAAAGGACAAGATTCGGGTTGTATTCGATGTAACCAATTCATTTTTCTCCCTTCCCTCGCATCTCAAAGGATTGCTCTACCAGATTCTTGATGGCGATGACAACGAAACCCTCACATACGACAAGTTCGTTGAGGTGAGGAAACAAAACTTCTCAAGAAATCGCAAACTGCTGACAAATCGTAACAGGGAGTGCACCGCCTGAATTTCAAAAATCCAGTCATCATAACACAAGAAGTCAACAAACAGACTCTGACCAAACTCTCGTCCTGATCGTCCTGTGCAGGATTGGGAGGATCTCATGGAAACTACACCACAGACTACAGGTACACGTGTGTTGATCTCGGACATGTCAAACAAGACTGTCGAACAACACTGCAACTTGATCCGAACAAGAACCTCTGCTGTTGTCTTCTCTCCACAACATCCTCTGTGTCTCCTGAACCATCCCTCACCATCATCCTGTTTTGTCACAATATTGTTCTTCCTCCCCAGCCGCCTCCGTCTCACTCTGCTCAACTTGTCATGATCGACACTGGGAGCAGGCAAGTCGGAGATCTGCTGGAAGGACTTCGAGGGCGTCATGCTCGGTCAACTCAATGAGTTCGCATGTCGACAAGCTGGTAGTGAACCGCTTGCTGCTGCTGCTGCTGCTGCTGCTGGTGGTGGTGGTGGTGCTGCCACTTGCTGCCACTTGCTGCTGCCACTTGCTGCCACTTGCTGGTGCTGCTGCTGCCGCTTGCTGCTGCTGCTGCCGCTTGCTGCTGCTGCTGCCGCTTGCTGCTGCTGCTGCCGCTTGCTGCTGCTGCTGCCGCTTGCTGCTGCTGCCACTTGCTGGTACTGGTGCTGCTGCTGCCACTTGCTGGTGCTAGTGCTGGTGCTGGTGCTGGTGCTAGTGCTGGTGCTAGTGCTGGTGCTGGTGCTGGTGCTAGTGCTGGTGCTGGTGCTGGTGCTGGTGCTGGTACTGGTGCTGGTGCTGGTACTGGTGCCGCTTGCTACTGCTGCCGCTGCTGCCACTTGCTGGTGCTGGTGCTGGTACTGGTGCTGGTGCTGGTGCTGGTGCTGGTGCTGGTGCTGGTGCTGATCTTGTTCCTCAGCAATCAGTAGACGAGATGCAGACCCGACGACGAGCGCTATGATCCTCGTCTTGAAACAGGTCGACACGCATGTCACTTGTTATGATGAGAACAAATTTGTGATTGTCAAAACATCTGATGCAGTCGGCTCTTGCTCGTGTAATTTTACATTTTCACTTCCTCTCCTCCTCCTCCTCCTTCTCGTCTCCTCCTCCTCCTCCTCCTCCTCCTCCTCCTCCTCCTCCTCGTCTTCCCCAGCATCCCTCTTCACATTCGTTCTGCTGTCTCATCTCCATCTCCTGCTCCCGATGCTGCTGCTCTGCGCATGCTCTCATCATCATCGACACGATTGAGATCTCTGTGCAGTTACAACTGGAAGTCAGCAAGATATCTCAGGCCAGGTCGTCAGAAGCAGAGATCAGAAGAGAGATCAGGAAGCTCACCAAGAGGGTGAGATTGCAAGTTGCTCTTCGCTCTTCTCCTGATCCTCCCCACATCAGGTTGGGAATGTAGAACAAAAAGTCTCTTCGCTGATGAAGAGAGAAAATCTCCATGGTGATTGTCCTGCTGCTGCTGCTGCTGCTGCTGCTGCTGCTGCTGCTGCTGCTGCTGTTGCTGCTGCTGCTGCTGCTCCTCCTCCTCCTCCTCCTCCTCCTCCTTCTCCTCCTCCTCCTCGTTCCCCTGGACTTGCTCCTGCTTCCTTCTTCCTCGTCTCTTCACAACTCGTGCAGGTGATGCATCAGCCTCGTCGTCCCCGGGCAATAGTGAGCAAGCGACGCTTGACCTCGTCCATCAGGTCGATGAAACGAGAATGGAGGGAGGGAGGGAGGAGAGAGGAGGAGAGAGGAGGAGAGAGGAGGAGAGAGGAGGAGAGAGGAGGAGGAGGA